TAACCCTAAACCTCTAGTATCATCACCCAAAGGTTTTGCCAGTTGAACTCAACTGAAACTTACAAAATGTTGTTGTAAGCTTGTTTTTAATGAGATCAATAACTCAATAGTGCTTGCGGGATTTGAACCCTAAACATCTGGTATCATTACCCAATGGTTGTGCCAGTTAAACTCAACTGAAACTTGCAAAATGTTCAGATACGATTGTTTTTAATGAGATCAGTAACTCGGTAATTTTGGCGGGATTAGAACCCCAAACCTCTGGTATCATTACCCAAGGTTTTACTAGTTGAGCTCCACTGACACTTGCAAAAAAATTGTTGTATGCCTATTTTTAATTAGATCAGTAACTCGGTAATGCGAGCCGGATTTGAACTCCAAACCTCGGGTGATCATCATCCAAAGGTTTTACCAGTTGAGCTTTAATGACACTTGCAAAATGTTTTGTTAAGTTTGTTTTTAATGAGATCGGTAACTCGGTAATACTTGTGGGATTTGAACCCTTAACCTCTGGTATCATCACCCAAAGGTTTTGCCAGTTGAACTCAACTGAAACTTGCAAAATGTTGTGGTAAGGTTGTTTTTTATGAGATCAGTAACTCGGTATTGCTTACGTGATTTAAACCCAAAACCTCCGGTTTCATCACCCAAAGGTTTTGCCGGTTGAACTCAAGCAAAATTTGCAAAATATTATTGTAAGGTTGTTTTTAATGAGATCAGTAATCCGGTAATGCTTGTGGGATTTGAACCCGAAACCTCTGGTATCATTACCCAACGGTTTTGCCAGTTGAACTCAACTGAAACTTGCAAAATGTTTGGGTAAGCTTGTGTTTAATGAGATCAGTAACTCGGGAATGCTTGTGGGATTTGAACCCTAAACTTTTGGTATCATTACCCAATGGTTTTGCTAGTTGAACTCAACTGAAACTTGCAAAATGTTGTGGTAAGCTTGTTTTTAATGAGAACAGTAACTTGGTAATGCTTGCGGGATATGAACCCTAAACCTCTGGTTTCATCACTGAAGGTTTTACCTGTTGAGCTCAACTGACACTTGTAAAAAAATTGTGGTAAGCTAGTTTTTAATGAGATCAGTAACTCGGTAATGCTTGCGGGATTTGAACCCTAAACCTTTGGTATCATCACCCAAAGGTTTTGCCAGTTGAACTCTACTAAAACTCTAAAAATGTTGTTGTAAGCTTGTATTTAATGAGATCAGTAACTCAATAATGCTTGCGAGATTTGAACCCTAAACATCTAGTATCATTACCCAATTGTTTTTTCAGTTGAACTCAACTGAAACTTGCAAAATGTTGTGCTAAGTTTGTTTTTAATGAGATTAGTAACTCGGTAATGCTTGCGGGATTTGAACCCTAAACCTTTGGTATCATCACCCAAAGGTTTTGCCAGTTGAACTCTACTAAAACTCTAAAAATGTTGTTGTAAGCTTGTATTTAATGAAATCAGTAACTCAATAAGGCTTGCGAGATTTGAACCCTAAACATCTGGTATCATTACCCAATGGTTTTTCCAGTTGAACTCAACTGAAACTTGCAAAATGTTGTGCTAAGCTTGTTTTTAATGAGATCAGTAACTCGGTAATGCTTGCGGGATGTTAACCCAAAGTGTTAGCCAGATGAACTCAATTGAAACTTGCAAAATATTGTGGTAAGTTTTTTTTTAATGAGATCAGTAACTAGTAATGCATGCGGGATTTTAACTCTAAACATCTGGTATCATTACCCAAGGTTTTACTAGTTGAGCTCTACTGGCACTTGCAAAAAAATTGTTGTATGCCTATTTTTAATTAGATCCGTAACTCGGTAATGCGAGTCGGATTTGAACTCCAAACCTCGGTTTATCATCCGTAACTCGGTAATGCTTGTGGGATTTGAACCCTTAACCTCTGGTATCATTCACCCAAATGTTTTGCCAGTTGAACTCAACTGAAACTTGCAAAATATTGTGGTAAGCATGTTTCTAATGAGATCAGTAACTCGGTAATGCTTGCGGGATTTGAACCCTAAACATCTGGTTTCATCAACCAAAAGTTTTACCAGTTGAACTCAACTAAAACTTGCAAAATATTGGGGTAAGCTTGATTTTAATGAGATCAGTAACTCTGTATTGCTTGTGGGATTTGAACCCTAAACCTCTGGTATCATCACCCAAAGGTTTTGCAAGTTGAACACTACTACTGAAACTTGAAAAATGTTGTGGTAAGCTTGTTTTTAATTAGATCAGTAACTAAATAATGCTTGCAGGATTTGAACCCTAAACCTCTGGTATCATCACCCAAAGGTTTTGCCAGTTGAACTCAATTGAAACTTGCAAAATGTTGTGGTAAGCTTGTTTTTAATGAGATCTGTAACTCAGTAATGCTTGCGGGATTTAAACCCTAAACCTCTGGTTTCATCACCCTACGGTTTTACCAGTTGAACTCAACTCAAACTTGCAAAATATTGTTGTAAGGTTGTTTTTCATGAGATCAATAACTCGGTAATGCTTGCGGGATTTGAACCATTAACCTCTGGTATCATCCCCCAAAGGTTTTGCCTGTTGAACTCAACTGAAACTTGCAAAATGTTGGGGTAAGCTTGTTTTTAGTGAGATCAATAACTCGGTAATGATTGTGGTATTTGAAACCGGAACCTCTAGTATCATTACCCAATGTTTTTGCCAGTTGAACTCTACTGAAACTTGAAAAACGTTTTGATAAGCTTGTTTTTAATTAGATCAGTAACTCGGTAATTCTGGCAGGATTTGAACCCCAAACCTCTGGTATCTTCACCGAAGGTTTTGCCAGTTGAGCTCAACTAACACTTGCAAAAATAGTGGTAAGCCAGTTTTTAATGAGATCAGTAACTCAGTAATGCTTGCGGGATTTGAACCCTAAACCTCTAGTATCATCACCCAAAGGTTTTGCCAGTTGAACTCAACTGAAACTTGCAAAATGTTGTTGTAAGCTTATTTTTAATGAGATCAATAACTCAATAATGCTTGCGGGATTTGAACCATAAACATCTGGTATCATTACCCAATGGTTTTGCCAGTTAAACTCAACTAAAACTTGCAAAATGTTCTGATAAGATTGGTTTTAATGAGATCAGTAACACGTAATTTTGGCGGGATTAGAACCCCAAACCTCTGGTATCATTACCCAAGGTTTTACTAGTTGAGCTCCACTGACACTTGCAAAAAAATTGTTGTATGCCTATTTTTAATTAGATCAGTAACTCGGTAATGCGAGCCGGATTTGAACTCCAAACCTCGGGTGATCATCATCCAAAGGTTTTACCAGTTGAGCTTTAATGACACTTGCAAAATGTTTTGTTAAGTTTGTTTTTAATGAGATCGGTAACTCGGTAATACTTGTGGGATTTGAACCCTTAACCTCTGGTATCATCACCCAAAGGTTTTGCCAGTTGAACTCAACTGAAACTTGCAAAATATTCTGGTAAGCATGTTTTTAATGAGATCAGTAACTCGGTAATGCTTGCGGGATTTGCACCCTAAACCTCTAGTTTCATCACCCAAAGGTTTTCCCAGTTAAACTCAACTAAAACTTGCAAAATATTGGGGTAAACTTGATTTTAATGAGATCAGGAACTCGGTATTGCTTGCAGGATTTGAACCCTAAACCTCTGGTATCATCACCCAAAGGTTTTGCCAGTTGAACTTAATTGAAACTTGCAAAATGTTGTGGTAAGGTTGTTTTTTATGAGATCAGTAACTCGGTAATGCTTACGGGATTTAAACCCAAAACCTCTGGTTTCATCACCCAAAGGTTTTGCCGGTTGAACTCAAGCAAATTTTACAAAATATTGTTGTAAGGTTGTTTTTAATGAGATCAGTAACCCGGTAATGCTTGTGGGATTTGAACCCTAAACCTCTGGTATCATTACCCAATGGTTTTGCCAGTTGAACTCAACTAAAACTTGCAAAATGTTGTGGTAAGCTTGTTTTTAATGAGAACAGTAACTTGGTAATCCTTGCGGGATTTGAACCCTAAACCTCTGGTTTCATCACCGAAGGTTTTACCTGTTGAGCTCAACTGACACTTGCAAAAAAATTGTGGTAAGCTAGTTCTTAATGAGATTAGTAACTCGGTAATGCTTGCGGGATTTGAACTCTAAACCTTTGGTATCATCACCCAAAGGTTTTGCCAGTTGAACTCAATTGAAACTTGCAAAATGTTGTGCTAAGCTTGTTTTTAATGAGATCAGTAACTCGTTAATGGTTGCGGGATGTTGACCCTAAACATCTGGTATCATAACCGAAAGGGTTAGCCAGATGAACTCAATTTAAACTTGCAAAATATTGTGGTAAGCTTGTTTTTAATGAGATTAGTAACTCGGTAATTTTGGCGGGATTTGAACCCCAAACCTCTGGTATCATCTCCCAAGGTTTTAGTAGTTAAGCTCAACTGACACTTGCAAAAAAATTGTTGTATGCCTATTTTTAATTAGATCAGTAACTCGGTAATGCGAGCAGGATTTGAACTCCAAACCTTGGGTTATCATCACCCAAAGGTTTTACCAGTTGAGCTTTAATGAGATCAGTAACTCGGTAATGCTTGTGGGATTTGAAACCTTAACCTCGGGTATCATCACCCAAAGGTTTTGCCAGTTGAACTCAACTGAAACTTGCAAAATATTGTGGTAAGATTGTTTCTAATGAGATCCGTAACTCGGTAATGCTTGCGGAAATTGAACCCTAAACATCTGGTTTCATCAACCAAAAGTTTTACCAGTTGAACTCAACTGAACTTGCAAAATATTGTGGTAAGCTTGTTTTTAATGAGATCAGTAACTCGGTAATGCTTGCGGGATTTGCATCCTAAACCTCTGGTATCATCACCCAAAGGTTTTGCCAGTTAAACTCAATTGAAACTTGCAAAATGTTGTGGTAAGCTTGCTTTTAATGAGATCAGCAACTCGGAAATGCTTGTGGGATTTAAACCCTAAACCTCTGGTTTCATAACCCAAAGGTTTTATAGTTTAACTCAAGCGAAACTTGCAAAATATTGTGGTAAGGTTGTTTTTAATGAGATCAGTAACTCGGTAATGCTTGCGAGATTTGAACCCAAAACCTCTTGTTTCATCACCCAAGGGTTTTACCAGTTGAACTCAACTGAAACTTTCAAAATATTGTTGTAAGGTTGTTTTTCATGTGATCTGTAACTCAGTAATTGTTGTATGCCTATTTTTAATTAGATCAGTAACTCGGTAATGCGAGCAGGATTTGAACTCCAAACCTCGGGTGATCATCACCCAAAGATTTTACTAGTTGAACTTTAATGACACTTGCAAAATGTTTTGTTAAGTTTGTTTTTAATGAGATTAGTAACTCGGTAATGCTTGTGGGATGTTAACCCAAAACATCTGGTTTCATCACCCAAAGGTTTAACTGAAACTTGAAAAATATTGTTGTAAGGTTGTTTTTCATGATATCAGTAAGTCGGTAATGCTTGTGAGATTTGAACCCGAAACCTCTGGTATCATTACCCAATGGTTTTGCCAGTTGAACTCAACTGAAACTTGCAAAATGTTTGGGTAAGCTTGTGTTTAATGAGATCAGTAACTCGGGAATGCTTGTGGGATTTGAACCCTAAGCCTCTGGTATCATTACCCAATGGTTTTGTTAGTTGAACTCAACTGAAACTTGTAAAATGTTGTGGTAAGCTTGTTTTTAATGAGAACAGTAACTTGGTAATGCTTGCGGGATATGAACCCTAAACCTCTGGTTTCATCTCTGAAGGTTTTACCAGTTGAACTCTACTAAAACTCTAAAAATGTTGTTGTAAGCTTGTATTTAATGAGATCAGTAACTCAATAATGCTTGCGAGATTTGAACCCTAAACATCTGGTATCATTACCCAATGGATTTGCCAGTTGAACTCAACTGAAACTTTTAAAATGTTGTGCAAAGCTTGTTTTTAATGAGATCAGTAACTCGGTAATACTTGCGGGATGTTAACCCTAAACCTCTGGTATCATCACCCAAAGGTTTAACTGAAACTTGAAAAATATTGTTGTAAGGTTGTTTTTCATGATATCAGTAAGTCGGTAATGCTTGTGAGATTTGAACCCGAAACCTCTGGTATTATTACCCAATGGTTTTGCCAGTTGAACTCAACTGAAGCTTGCAAAATATTGTGTTAAGCTAGTTTTTAATGAGATTAGTAACTCGGTAATTCTGGCAAGATTTGAGCCCTAAACCTCTGGTATCATCACCGAAGCTTTTACCAGTTGAGCTCAACTAACACTAGCAAAAAAATTGTGGTAAGCCAGTTTTTAATGAGATCACTAACACGGTAATGCTTGCGGGATTAGAACTCTAAACCTTTGGTATCATCACCCAAAGGATTTGCCAGTTGAACTCTACAGAAACTTGAAAAATGTTGTGGTAAGCTTGTTTTTAATGAGATCAGTAACTCGGTAATTTTGCCGGGATTTTAACCCCAAACCTTTGGTATCATTACCCAAGGTTTTACGAGTTTAGCTCTACTGACACTTGCAAAAAAATTGTTGTATGCCTATGAGATCAGTAACTCGGTAATGCTAGTCGGATTTGAACTCCAAAACTAGGGTAATCATCAACCAAAGGTTTTACCAGTTGAGCTTTAATGACACTTGCAAAATGTTTTGTTATGTTTGTTTTTAATGAGATCAGTAACTCGGTAATGCTTGTGGGATTTGAACCATTAACCTTTGGTATCATCACCAAAAGGTTTTGCATGTTGAACTCAACTGAAACTTGCAAAATATTGGGGTAAGCATGTTTCTAATGAGATCAGTAACTCGGTCATGCTTGCGGGATTTGAACCCCAAACATCTGGTTTCATCAACCAAAAGTTTTACCAGTTGAACTCAAATGAACTTGCAAAATATTGTTGTAAGCTTGTTTTTAATGAGATCAGTAACTCAGTAATGCTTGTAGGATTTGAACCCAAAACCTCTGGTTCCTTCACCCAAAGGTTTTACCAATTAAACTCAACTGAAACTTGCAAAATATTGTTGTAAGGTGTTTTTTCATGAGATCTGTAACTCGGTAATGCTTGCGGGATTTGAACCCT